TTAGCAATACTGAACCCCCAGTAGTACCTACTGCTGGTGATCACCGGATACGTGTAGAAATCATATTCACGTTTGATGATGACTCAAACCAACAGACTCGATGTAAATATGTATAACCTGCTTGTTAAGCCTAGAGAAAATTTAACATAAATTGCATGTCAACCTCACGTTTCTCGCGTTTATAAAGAAATTGTTGCTGAAACACTGTTTTTATAGTGTCACTGAGTATATGAAATACCTGATTAATGTAAAATAGTGTTTAGGACCTCACATGTACAATCTAAGAATAAAGAATGCACACGTCGTATGCTAACACTTTTATTGCAGGAACGAAGAGTGGTTCAAGTATTGAACAAAGTCTGTGCCTGCCTCGTCGCTATTCTAATCTTTATAGGACAAGCTGTATCGAAAAAAGAATAAAAGCAAATATTTCTTAATGGGCTTGCTCGCCACACAATTCATTTGTTGGAATACTGGGCTTGTACCACATAGTTACAAGGACCCCAACGGATTCCATAACCTCCTCCCTCCTACGAAAAGTTGGTCTCCAACTTAGAGAAAATTTAAGTTACAATATGGTTCCAAAGCTGTAAGAGTCGTAAGAAAGGGTTTTGCAACTTAGTATGAACTATTATTTCCAAATGATTTTGGTAATAAGAAGGATTTAAAAAGCTAAAATTACTTTCAAGTAAAGGCAATGATAATTCAATCTGCTTGCAGTCTTTAATATCAATTGAAATATTAGTATTAATAGTATTTTAAGTGAATATGAGGACAATTTTCCAACATAGATGGCTTACATGTGCCTGTTTAGTAATTAAAAACATAAATGCGGATTGTTACTTAGTTTGTTGATTAAATTGGAGCAAAATCTTTCTTCTTCAAATTACAAAGTAAAATTGCTTGGGATCTTTATTAATTCATTCCTTATAATTAACGGATACAATTCAAAAACACTGTAAGTTTTTACGGTCAAGAAGAGGTACATGAATTACGAATATGATTCATTTCGCAAAGTTACAATTGATAGTTCGCAAAGATTCAGTATCTCAAAAGGGTGCATTGTTTCAAAATCTAACAGATGATCTTTATGGTATAAAGTTTGCAAATGTTCAATGAGGATATTTATTTCCCTATGATTTAATGAAAGAATGGATAGGACGCTCAAATGATTAATTTGAATTTAAATTTATTTGATGTGCGATTTGCTCGAAGAATTTCATTTGAAAAGCCATATTTTGTGTAACAGAAACTATGCTTTCTTGGATATTGATAGTATTGTGCTCAAAAGTGCCTTGCAAACCTTTACAGAAGAAAATAACTTTTTAATTCTGTAGATTCAGTGCGTGTTGATTTTCATGTAGTTTTGGATTGGTTATATAATTTAAATTAATAAGGAATTGAGTTTTATGACGATTTTCGATTAATCTTGAATTTCCTAGCGGCAGTTTGATTACCGGAGGTGCTTTGAGCAGAGGGTTCATCAGTAGCGCTCGAATTGGTAGGCATTGGACTGGTAGAGCTCTGTAAAGGATTTTTACGTTGAGGCTTGATTCGTCTCAGCATGTGTTTTCTATCTTTGATTAAAATTTGATTTCCTTGTTGTTGAAAATAGTGTGTTTTTGATATTTTGGTTTGTCCTTAGTTTGTCTGATTGGGATTTTGATATAGATCGGAGATTTTAAAACGGGGATCTTAGATACGCGTTTTTCGTTAATTTTGTTAGTTTGTTTTTTTAATTGATTATAAGAATCGTGAGCGATTTGTTCATTAATTTTGTCTTTTTCTAATATTTGTTTAAGATGTGATGAATAAGGGTCTTCAGTACTACCGTATAATAAATCAAAAGGTGTATGTTTTGTAGTAGAATGAACAGATTGATTGTAATTTAATATAACGTCAGTCATTAGGTCAGTAGTAGTGTCTGTTTTCGAGTCTGTCTTAGGATTCGAAATTTTTCTCCAATGGTACTATGTACTGTATCGTTCAATTGGTGCAATAGAACTAGGATTGCTGGTGCTTCCTAAGTGCAAATGTATTTCATGAGCTTTACAATAATCTTTAATAACTTCTGAACGTAATTCTCCATAATCGGCATGAAGTGATTTTGGAAATCCATGATGTGAAAAGAAATGTTTCATTTTAGATAGTATGTCAACGTGATTTCGTGACATGGTCTGATAGGCTTGGGCATATCGACTAAAGTGGTCTATAAAAGTTACATATTTAGTATTTTCAATAGTAAAAATATCTATGAACACTAGTTGGAATGGTTTGTTACTGAAAAATGGGCCTTGGATTGGTTCTTTGTAAGGTTTTCGTTCGTATTTAGCTTTTAAACAGATTTCGCATTTATTATGATGTCAGTTATAAGGTCTTTAAGTTTTGGTGTATAGTGAGTCTTTTGGAAATGAGAATAAGTTTCATTAATTCCGTTGTGAAATTTATGATGGTACAAAGTTATTTCGTCTTTCATTTCTTGTTTGTCTAAATAAATTGGTTTAAATGCAGCTTTTTCTAGTACAATATGTTTTGCAGAAAAAGATTGTGTCATAATTTTACGTATGGGCAAAAGTTTCTTCCGTCGTACCAAATTCCTGTTTTAAGGGGTACAATAATTTTTTACACAATCCAAAATAAATGAGGAACATAAGTGATTAATTAAAGAGCACCTTAGTGTCTTATTGGAAGTAATTTGATCTTGTTTTTTCTTTTACCTGTTATAAATTCAATTCGGTGAGGATAGCATAAAAGTTTTTTCTGAAAATTGAATCGAGTTTGGGTTTGATTCAGGCGAAGTGTGTCTCGTGTTAGTTGATCTGTTGTCTGTTTCGTGAATAGTCATTTCTGATTCGGGTGCGTTGGGGATCATTGATTCGGTTTCGAGATAATCCTGAACATTTTCTGGATTCGGCTTAAGGCGTCAGCAACTAAATTTGTTTTGCCTTTTTTGTATTTGATTTCGAAATCGTATTCCTCAAGTTTGATTTTCTATCTAATTAATCTCTGGTTTGGTTCTTTCAAATTTGATAACCACACCAAAGGTTTATGATCAGTCTCAATCAGAAATCTATGTCCAAATAAATATGGTCTAAAGTGTTTGCATGAATCAATAATGGCTAAGAGTTCTTTTTCAATGGTGGAATAATTTCGTTCAGCAGAGTTTAATGTTCTTGAATGAAAACTGATAGGTCTTCCGTCTTGTGATAGAACACTTCCTATCGCAATATTTGAGGCGTCGGTTGTTAACGTGAACGTTTTTGAAAAATCAGGATATTGGAGTACGGGTGAATTACTGATAGTCTTTCTTATTACATCAAAACTTGAATGTAATCAGGATCTGAAATGTTGATTTTCTCGTCTTTCTTTAAACATTTAGTGAAGGTTTGGTAATTTGTCGAAGTCTTTAATGAGTTTTCAGTAATAGTTGGTTAATCCTAAAAATGATTGAATTTGTTTGATAGTTTTTGATATTGGAAAATCTTGAATGCATCTGATTTTATCCGGATTTGGTTTAATTCCGTTTGGCGTTATTACATGTCCCAGAAATGGAACGTCTGTTCTTAGGAACTCTGTTTTGTCAAGTTGTAATTTCTTGATGTTTTAATTAAAGCTTGAAATATAGATTTCAAATGAATAAGGTGATCTTGCAATGATTTTGAGAAAATTATTATGTCATCTAAATAGCCGAAACATATTTTTCCGATGTAAGGTTTTAAAACAAACATCATTCTTTGGAATGTTGCTGGAGCGTTTTTCAGTCAGAAGGGCATTCGTAAGTATTCATAGTGCCCGTTGTCGACGGTGAATGCAGCCTTTTCAATTGAGTCTTTGTGCAAAGGAATCTGATGGAATCCTTGTGCCAGATCTAACGTTGAAAAATATACTAAGTGACATATAAATCCGAACCCCTAGTTTAAATGGTTTTATTTTAATAAAAGTTGGTGAATGTATTTATCTGACTGTAAATAACAAGTGAAAAAATTTTCAGCCTTATCAGTTGGACATTCCGGTTTTTATACTGCTGTTTTTTAATTCACTAACGCTCTAAAAATGAATATTTCACGCCGCAGTAAAGAATCAACGTTGGCGGATTTTGGTTCTTGACATCCTTTACGATCGGTTACGATGCCTAGAGTACGGAGACCTGTACGATTTCGTCAACTTAGTGAGTTTGATAGGAGCCGTATAGTGGGACTTCGGGAAGCTGGACTTTCTTTTCGGGCAACTGCAGTTAGAGTGCAAAGAAATGTAGACACTGTGGTTAGGTGTTGTCAGGCATGGTTTCGAGAAGGCCGTACGCAAAGAGCAAGGGGCACTGGACGCCGCCGTAGAACAACAGACCGTGAAGATCGCCACCTAAGATTATTGGCCTTAAGGGACCGTTTCTCCACTACCAGGTCCATTGCAAATGAATGGTTTGCAGAACACGGAAGACCTATTGGCATGCGAAGTGTTTACCGACGAATGAGAAGTTTTGGGTTGTTTCCATACCGGCCACACTGGGTCCTCCCTTTAACTCGAGAACACCGACGTAATCGCCTTGAGTGGTGCAGACAACGGTCACTCTGGGATCAGTATTGTCTTTAGTGACGAGTCTCGATTTTGTTTAGGCATGCACGATGGTCGTGCCAGGGTTAGAAGGCGACGTGGTGAAAGGAGGAATCCACAGTTTTTTGTTGAAAGACATGTTGATCACACTGTTGGAGTTATGGTTTGGGATGCTATAGCTTATGGTTCCAGGTCACCTTTAATCTTCATCAGAGGTAACATGAACGCGCAGCGTTATGCGTTATCTCCACGAAGTTCTAGAACCCCATCTTTTACCCTACCTACCTGACACCCTGGCAGACCCAACTTTCCAACAAGATAATGCCCGACCACATGTTGCAAGAGTCACAATCGACTTCTTTCAACATAATGATGTCACATTGTTACCATGGCCATCAAGATCTCCCGACTTATACAAAATTTTATTAAAAAAAACCATTAAAACTGGGTGTTCGGTTTTATTGTCACTTAGTATATTTGGCTTAGCCTAAACTCTCTATATTTCTTCAGTTCGGGGCAAAGGATATTTATCTTCTTCGATAGAAATGTCATTTAGTTTACGAAAATCGATTACCATGCGATACTTTTTAACGCCGGAAGCGTCAGGCTTCTTATTTATGATCCATACAGGTGATGAGTACGGACTTGTACTGGGACGGATGATGTCATCTTGCAAAAGTTTAGCGACTTGTTTCTGAATTTCGGTTTTTAATAAATAGACTGGATAGCGAAAAGATTTTACAAATATTGGGTCGTCGTGTTTTGTTCTGATAGAATGAGATGTTACGGTACATGGCTCTAATTTTTCGTTAGGTTTTAGAAAAGCTTCAGGAAATTTTCTACAAAGTTCTGTTATCTTGTATTTTTCTTCGTCATTCATGTGATCAGTTCTTATTAAAGTTCCAATATCAGTTAAATTATATTCATTCTGGGGTGTTTCAATGTCGTAATTATCCAAATTGTCGTATTTGATGCATTGATAGTTTAAATCTAATAGATTTGGATTTTATGGGTATAGTACTTCGTAATTATTAACGGTACAAATCATTTTGGGTGTGTAATCGTTAGAATTTAGATATTTAATAGGTGGAACGATAATTTGTCCATTTTTGATAGGGGATTTTAGAACTTGATTTTTGATTACAGTGTTCGGGACTTTACGTGGTATTTTGTCAGTGTGGCAAATACAGTTTAAACGATCAATGGATAGCAAATTCTTAGATGTTTGTAAAGTAGCTTGAGATTTTTGTAGATCATAATATCCTAGCAAACAGTCAAAACGTTCGTGCCAGTCTAAAATGAGAAATTCAATTTCAGTGTTAATGCCCTGTTCATTGAACAAAGGAATTTGCAAAGCGTATTCACCGTGTTTAGTACCAATGATAGATTTTATTGAAGAGTGTTTTGGATAAATGTAATCTGGAAAATAATTGAAAGCAATTTGAGTGTCGATCAAAGAGACATATGCACCAGTGTCTATAAGAACTAGCAAATCTAAATTTTGTAAATAAATGTATGGAAAATGTGTGTTCTCATAATTATTGAGATCTAAGTCAATGGGTTTTGATTTGGGGCTTTCGAAAATTTTGAGTTGTCTCTTCAGGGGGAAACTCGACAGTAGGGTTACTATCTGAATTTTCATATTCTTGTTGGTCATAATTTTCATAATTTGGATCATAGTATTGCTGTTCATCGTATTCTTGTTCGTTTTGGATTGTTCGGTCGCTTCGGTGTTGGTTAGTTCTTCAGCGATAAAATTTGGTCTTTGTCCGTGATTTGAGAAAAATTTAGGACGGTATTGATTCTGTTGTTGCGAGGGGCGGTTCGTAATAGTAGATGTAGACATGGGTGTCGGTTTAAAGTTTTTTGGTGGATCTTGTCTATTTTGTGGATAGAAATTAGGCCGTCGTGGTTGAATTTGTCTTTGAAATTGATTATTAAAATAATTTGGTCTGATGTTAATCGGGCCAGTTGGGAAGTTAGATCGTTGTGGCTGTTGGTAAAATTGCGGATTGTAAAATTGTTGGTTTGAAGGGAATCGCCACATTGGTGTATTTTGAACGATATTTGTAGGTTTCGGTTTTTGAATGGCGTTAGTATTTTTGGCTTTTTGTTTAGTAAATACTTTGCATTGCGATTGTATTTGTAAATTATCGTATTTTTGACAAATTTGTAAGGCAGCTTGAAGAGTTCTAGGTGTTGCGTTAAATAGGAGTGATTTATACTAAGTGACATATAAATCCGAACACCCAGTTTAAATGGTTTTATTTTAATAAAAGTTGGTGAATGTTTTTATCTTACTGTAAATAACAAGTGAAAAAATTTTCAGCCTTATCAGTTGGACATTCCGGTTTTTATACTGCTCTTTTTTAATTCACTAACGCTCTAAAAATGAATATTTAGCCGCAGCAAAGAATCAACGTTGGCGGATTTTGGTTCTTGACATCCTTTACGATCGGTTACGATGCCTAGAGTACGGAGACCTGTACGATTTCGTCAACTTAGTGAGTTTGATAGGAGCCGTATAGTGGGACTTCGGGAAGCTGGACTTTCTTTTCGGGCAACTGCAGTTAGAGTGCAAAGAAATGTAGACACTGTGGTTAGGTGTTGTCAGGCATGGTTTCGAGAAGGCCGTACGCAAAGAGCAAGGGGCACTGGACGCCGCCGTAGAACAACAGACCGTGAAGATCGCCACCTAAGATTATATAGTATAGTGGGACTTCGGGAAGCTGGACTTTTTATATACTCCAACTACCACGAAGGTCTAAGGCCTAAGCACCCATTGGGTACCGTGGGGCTATAGGGGGATACATGGGAAAGGGGGAACGGGAACGCCACACGGACTCTGGCGAGGGAACACGTGTGCATGCAACATGCACACATTCTGGCTCCGCCTACGAGATCCGCCGGGTGGTACCTCCACGTTCGACAGTCAGAGACCATCTATCACCTACGGACAATCACAACATCCATAGCCAAGACAAAAAGTTCTCCTGGGACGGGACTCGAACCCGCACAGCGCACGGCGACTGATCAGGAGACCGCAGAGTCTACTACTACTGCGCGCCACCGCTGCTGCCTGCCTGCCTTTTCGGGCAACTGCAGTTAGAGTGCAAAGAAGTGTAGACACTGTGGTTAGGTGTTGTCAAGCATGGCTTTGAGAAGGCCGTACGCAAAGAGCAAGGGGCACTGGACGCCGCCGTAGAAAAACAGACCGTGAAGATCGCCGCCTAAGATTATTGGCCTTAAGGGACCGTTTCTCCTCCACTACCAGGTCCATTGCAAATGAATGGTTTGCAGAACACGGAAGGCCTATTGGCATGCGAAGTGTTTACCGACGAATGACTCGAGAACACCGACGTAATCGCCTTGAGTGGTGCAGACAACGGTCACTCTGGGATCAGGAATGGAACAGTATTGTCTGTAGTGACGAGTCTCGATTTTGTTTAGGCATGCACGATGGTCGTGCCAGGGTTAGAAGGCGACGTGGTGGAAGAGGAATCCACAGTTTTTTGTTGAAATACATGTTCATCACACTGTTGGAGTTATGGTTGGGGTGATATAGCTTATGGTTCCAGGTCACCTTCTTATCTCAGAGGGTAACATGAACGCGCAGCGTTATATCTACGAAGTTCTAGAACCCCATCTTTTTACCCTATCTTGACACCCTGGCAGATCCAACTTTCCAACAAGATAATGCCCGACCACACCACATGTTGCAAGAGTCACAATAGACTTCTTTCAACATAATGATGTCACATTGTTACCATGACCACCAAGATCTCCCGACTTATCCCCAATTGAGCACGTGTGGGATATGATGGGTAGGAGATTGCTCAATTTGCAACGTCCTCCTCAGACTCTAGAAGCACTTCGAGAGGAATTGGTGGTTGCCTGGAATGAGATACCACAGGAGGACATTGACCACTTGATCAGAAGCATGCCTAGGCGCGTTGGAGAATGCGTAGCGCATCAGGGTGCATCCACACATTATTAAAGGTCAAAGGGCTTTAAAGCAGTGCAATCATTTTTAAATTTTTATCATTTACTTATTTATGCTTCATTAAGTACTTATACAAAATTTTCTTAAAATAATACCATTTAAACTGGGTGTTCGGATTTATATGTCACTTAGTATATATGGTTCTTTAATACCAGTTACAAATGAATCTAATGCAGCTTCTGTGTAAAGGTCGACTCTAGATTGAGCAACTACATCAGAAAATTCCAAAAGAGCATACTCTAAGATATGTAATTTTTGCAAAATTTCAGTATGAAGATTCATATAGTCTGTGTACTGGGATAAATTCCTAAGTTCATCAAGTAGCATTAATTCGGATTTTGATGAATCTTTGTAACGTTCTTTGAGAATTTATTCAAATTCTTGCCAAGTTTGAGGATTATTTCGTTCAACGATAACAGAAGGTTCTCCTTGTAGTTTGGATTTTACGTACGATAAAGCATGAATTTGATATGGGCCATGCAAAGCGGCAACAAATTCTCTAGATTTACGTAAATATACAGATAAATTATTTGATGTTTCAGAAAAAATAGGCACACTATCTTTCAATAGGTTAAATAACATTTGTGGATTGTCAGCCATGGTTGTTCTGAATTCCTCTCTAACGTTAGCTTGGTTTTTTTACTGGTTGTCTTCTAATGGGTGATCGTTCTCGTACTGGAGATTTACCAAAAGTTTCTTTGACTAAATAGATAAAATGGATTTGGCTTACTCTAGCGTTATGTGAAAAATCAAATTTTTCATAACGGAGACTGGTCTGGTTCTTGTAGCTCTCTGTTTCTCTAGGCTCGTTCTGCAGGGACCTCGGACGTGGCTCTCAGGTTCTCAGATCGTTTCTCTTACGGAAGTGGATACTTCCTACCTCACAATGGTTGGTCACACAGAAGGGACGTAGTTCAGCTCACCTGATGAATCTCGAAGGTTTTACTGATGGTTGGCTGGGCTCGTACAAACTTCCAGATGTTTTCCACGAAGGCGTATAACGATCCTGTTCGCAGCGCCAGATAAAGAATGCACACGTCGTATGGTAAAAAAAATAACAGACTTTATTCAGGAACGAAGAGTGGTTACAAGTATTGAACAAAATCTGTCTGTGCCTCGATATAATTCTAATCTTTATAGGAAAAATAACAGAGCTGTATCGAAAAAAAAAGAAGTAAAAAACAAATATTTCTTAATGGGCTTGCTTGCCATACAATTCAATTTGTAGGAATAATGGGCTTGTACCACATAGTTATGTTACCAACAGGATTCCATAACTTATATGTATATAAAGTGGTGAATAAATGATATGATATGATATTATTATTGTTATTATTATTACTGTTATTATTATTATTTATTATTATTATTATTATTTTATTTTTATTATTATTATTATTATTATTATTATTATTATTCTTTGCCCACAGCGGCATCGGCTACTATGGCCATTAGCTGCTTCCCTCCTGCCCATACGGTCAATTGCCACTTTCATCACAGGGGCAGATCTGGGTGACTCAGATGTCATGTAAGTAGCTCAGATTTTAATACACAAAAAAAGACAAGAACAAAAAAATATGTACACATGTATACGCACACACATATTATATCATATACAAGACATATAATTAACTTAGTCAGACAAGGACACTAATAAAATAAGCATACATGAGCGTGGATACACAAGCATTTAATTACATATCCGACGCTAGTACTTCTTAATCAATCATAGATCGTCAGTTTACGTATTGTATGTAGGATATCCTGCGTAATTGCACTATTTACTAAAAAGTTTGGTAGATTTAAGAAAATCACGTGTAGAACCTATGTTGGCAGTAGTGAAAAGCACTTTCTAAGTCCACAGCTAGGTTGTGTGCTGTTCGAGCGCAGCTAGGGAGAAAGGACACTCAAACAGTATAGCTATCCATGAGAGCCATTTATTACATTTTTTACATCTTGGTGGTGGATTACCTAATAGCATGTCGGAGTGAGTAAGAAATGTGTGCCCTATTCTCATTCTCGTAACTACTAACCTGTTTCTCTACGTATCATATGTGGGAGGCTCCATTTTTTTATGTTTGGCTTGAACGTCTTCAAAAATTCATTCGAGAGGTTCCATTCTTCCTGCCATGAGTGGAGGACATTTTCCTTCATAGCTTCTTTAGCATCTTCTAGCCGAAGTGGTACACCTGTTACGTCCAATAAAATTGCTTGGCGTGCTGTTTTATCGGCCAGTTCATTTCCATGAATTTCAGAGTGCCCTGGGCTCCAGATGAAATTAACGCGTTTATTTTCTTGATAAAACTGATGGTGGAGACTCAACGTCTTTACGAGGAGAGGATCTGTTGAGTACTTGTGTTTGATAGCCAATATGGCATTGAGAGAGTTGCTGCAGATAAGGTACTTACCTCCTGCTAAACCTTTTATACAGGGTGACTTTGAAGTTGAGTCATTAATTTTCAGATAATGATTGTAGAAGGAAGATAAACCAAAATATGTGTGTGAAAATAAAAAAATAAATAAAAAAAAATGTTACCTTGTTTAATAAAGTATCGTCCCGACAAGTATTTCAGTGCGGACCTGTATTTGATCGTGCGGTCTTGGAGCAGCATGCCCTGACCTGTGAGGTCTTAAGTCACCTGATTCACGAGCCCTTTGTACTACATTATCAAAGGCACGAGGGGTTGGTTGCACTCGATTGGGAAACCGATTCGCATAAATCCGTGATGCATCCGGGGGCATTTTGTAAAGACTGCCCCCCCCGTAAATAAGAATCATGTGCACAAATTCAGCATTTTCGTAAACATGTGCCATTTTTGATTTCGTTTGAGCCACGCAACAAACACTACTATTCACTAACGCGTTATCGACTGACGAAAAACATCGTGATAAACGTTTCAAATTCTTTCGCTTTTTTGTTTCCGATGCGATGAACCGGTCAGGCGGATTATATCCGTTGTCGCCAAACACGAACATATAATATTATTATTGAGACAGGGCGGTACTCAAACTTCCAAAGGGCTATAACTTTGTTACTTTAATTTTACCAGAAAAATGGTAAAGGAAAAAAACATTTCTTTTGATCAGATCTACTCACTGTTAAAATAAATGACTCAACTTCGAAGTCACCCTGTATAGTTAAGAGCCTGAAAGATGGCGAAAAGTTCGGCGAAGTATATAGAACATGACGAGTTTAAACTCCATCCACGACAAAATCCTTCAAGGCTATGGCACAACCAACTCCCTCAGCAGTCTTCGATCCATCAGTATAAATAATCTTGCATGGTTGGTAAATAAAAAAAGCTCGATTTATAGCCTCATTACAAATTGTCCCTTTTTTGTATCGAGTCATTTCGGTATCGGTCAAAGGTGTTGTTAATGTCCATGGTGGTAGATCAGGTAACATCAAGTTATCCACATCTGGCAGATCGATACCTAGGGCGCTAGTATTTCATTGACCCGGATTCCAAAGGGGCGGGTGGCGGTTGGTCTGTCATGGAAGAGTTCTTCCGTTTCCTCATTAAAAATGATAGAGTTATTGAGATGCTGAGGCTGTGCTGCAATTTTTATTGCATAGTTGAGGCTAAGTTGCTGTATTCTGTATTTCAAGGTGGCATTCCAGCTTCACAGTATATTGAATCTGAAGGGCTTGTCCTAAAGGCACCAATACATCGTCTTAGACCATCTCTATGAAGTATTTCCAGTTTCGCAATATGAGACTTACGTGCTGATGCAAACACAATTAGACCATACTCAATTTTCGAAAGGACCAAAGATTGATATAATTCAGAAGGACTTCCCGACTGGCTCCCCACTGGATGTTAGAGATACATTTGATAATGTTCATGGACTTCTTGCACCTAACAAGGATTTTTTCAATCTGAGGACCCCAGTGAAGTTTTTGGTCGAACGTTAGCCCCAGAAGATAGAGTATCTTTACACTGTATCAGATGTCCATTTAGTGACAGTCGAGGATTAGTGTGTGGAGTTCTCAGCCTACAAAAGTCTATACAGGCCGTTTTTACGGGGGAGAATTGAAAACCGAGACTCTCAGCGGTAGTCGTAAGATGATTTATTGCTGCTTGTAGAGTTTCCTCGATTTCTATTAGGTCCTTTGCAGAGAAGAATATAGTGAGGTCGTCCACATATAGACATTTGCCTATATGAGGTTCAATCGACTCAACAAGGGGATTCACAGCTATTATAAAGAGTGTCACACTTAGCGTCGATCCTTGAGGGATGCCGTTTTCCTGTGTATAGGCATGTGAGAGCTCATTTCCTATGCGAACTTTGAACAAACGGTCCTCCATGAAATTTGATATGAGAGTTAATAGGTTGCCTCTGAGTCCCCAAGAGTATAGGGTCTTCAGAATTCCGTGCCTCCATGTTCGATCATATGCCCTTTCTAAATCGAAAGAGACTGCCACCATGTGATTTCGGTTAGCAAAACTTGTCTGAATAGCTGATTCAAAGTAGATTAACTGGTCAATAGTGGATCGGTGACGCCGAAAGCCCATTTGATGATTTGAAAGTAAATTCCGTGCTTCAAGGAACCATACTAATCTCCTATTTGCCATTTTTTCAAATATTTTGCTTGGGCAACATGTTAAAGATATAGGGCGATAGCTGCCAGGGTTCTTTGGATCTTTATTAGGTTTTAATACAGGAATGATCACAGCCTCGTGCCATTGTTGGGGGTATATACCCTCTGCCCAAATTTTGTTATAAAGAGTTAGCAAATTCATCTTTCCTGTTGCAGGTAAGTGTCTAATCATTTCATAGTGTATAGAATCTGGCCCTGGAGCAGAGTTGTGGACCTCACTTAGTGCACTTTCCATTTCTTCCAACGTGAAAGGCAAGTTATATGCAGATACCCTGTCTTCAGTAAAATCAAGGTGTGTGGTTTCCTCTTCAACTTTCTTGGTTAAAAATTTAGGTGAATAGTTGGAAGAATTTGAGTTATTTGGAATTCAAGTGCCAAACATTAACAATCTCTTGATTGTCTGTTATTTCTTTATCATTGATCACAGGACAGGTGATGGAATAGGAAGCGTTTTCCCGATATAATCCAATCTTCTTCCAAATCTCAGAATCGGGAGTAGTTCTAGATATAGTAGATACAAATTCCCTCCAGGACGAGTTCTTACTCATCAGAATCAGTTGACGGGCTTTCGCTCTACATTTTTTAAACTTGATAAGATTAGATAGTGTTGGGCATCTTTTGAATTGGGTAAAAGCTTTTTTTTCTTCTGTATTGCATGATCAAGTTCGCGGTTCCACCAAGGTACCCTATTGGGACCACGGACTGCACTGGCTGTTTTGGGGATACTACCCTCCGCTGCCTCAATGATGCCATTTGTGATCTCTATTACTGATTCATGTACAGTGCCGTTCATATTGAAAGGATGAATTATGTGTTGGTACAAAGACCAATCTGCTTTTTTAATGTTCCATTTACTGTGTCGAACGGGAGGATGACACTTCACAAAGGTTCTAATTAAAATAGGTAAGTGATCAGAGAAGTTATCCTCCAATACCTGCCATTGGAAAAGGTGTGCTATTTGTGGGGAACAGATGGTCAAATCAATGGCGCTTAAATTGCAAGAACGGGTATTTAGATATGTGCCTTCTCCAGTATTCAGTATGACTAGGTTATGTTCTTCAACAAGTTCCTCGATTATTCTGCCTCGGAGATCAATTTTATTGGAACCCCATAGATGATTATGGGAATTGAAGTCGCCCACAAGAAGAAACGGAGAGGGTATTGGGATAATAAACTTCTTATTTGGTTCCTATCCCAACTAAAGTCGGGTAAGTAGATGTTACATATCGTGAACTTAAAGGGCAAATGCACTTGTACAGCAACTGACTGCAAGGCTGTTTGTAAGGTTACTTCACTAAAAGGTACGTTATCCTTTATAAATATTGCCACACCTCCCTTAGCCCGAGATTGTGAGGCGGCATCCTTTCGTATATAGTTGTAGTTATGCAGGTTGAACACATCTGTATCACGGAGGTGGGTCTCTTGTAGGCACAAACAGAAAGGAGCTTTATCAACCATTATCGTTTTCAATTCGGGGTAATGTGTCTTAGATCCATTTATATTCCACTGGATTATAGAGTCCATTTAGGGGTTTTTGTTTAAAAGTATATATTGTAGTGTGTCTTGTATCAGCTCCTGACTGTATAAGACGGTTGTGTGAATATAAATA